AGAGAGAATCGGGATGGTGCCCCCGGGTTGAATCCTCTCTCAAAATCCGCCTAATTTCGTTATGCTGATCTCGGAATTCAGCTCGTCTTCTCAGAATGATCCTGTAGCAAGCAAGCTCGTTAAAGCTTGTTACCGGACTCGGAGCGGTCCCGCTCGGAATTTCGAGCTCAAGTTTCCGATCACCATTAGCATAGAGCTGCGGAAAGGGCGTGCGATCTCGCAGCGGACAGAAGTTCGCTGCATACTCATTGCGAGACAAGCTTTATCAATTGAATTCATCGGGCATCTTATTGCTCTCGCAAATCCGGTCTCACGTGGGCTCTACCCTTTGCGGCTGCCGTCCGCGGAGAATCAGCTAGAATAATTCCGGGCAAAAAACTTCTTCCACGTATGCTGAAGCTCGGTATACCTAGGATGGAGTCCTCGGGTACTAGGATCGCAATCCCCTGAATTCATCGATTGGATGAAGTATTCTAGGCTCAAGATATGCGATCCACTCGCAACTTTAGACCTCCGTCGATGCTCGTCCATCGAAGCAACCGCCCTACAGAGAAAGACCGATCACAACGAATGGAAGCTCCGCTGCGAGCCCGTCTGTCATCATCGGAATGAGTCTCAATTCATGAATAACCGTCGGACCATCGCTCCACCGGCGGAGGCTCAATCGGGGACTTCGGAATCACCGCTCTTCTTCGCACACTGCCGTGGGAGATTCGGTTCTCTCCGGGCGTGGCTGGATGCAGAAGGGAGTCATTCTTTTGACAACCCTCGAACTCTAAGGGGCTGGACCTGTATCGAAGCTGACCTTCCTTTGAGGAATATTATGGACTTCCGGAAATTATCGAGAAATCCCTGTCGAAGAAGTCTAACTAAGCGAAAAGAGGAGCGATGTCATTTCTGTGTTGGAGCCGATCACTTTCGCGATGTGCGACGCCGCCTTCCAGCGAGAATATATGTAATCAAATTTCCACGACCAAATCGAACTGCACGTATATGTACATATTAGATATCACGTTGCGCGATCAGCATCATCAAATCCGACCGATTCACTTTGTCTGTTTCTTTTCAGGATCCAAACGACACTATCAGAACATCCTCTTCCCGCTCACCGAAGTTGTAATCAAGGAAATTGTGGCCCTGCAGCGGATTTCGTTTGAGCCGGAGCTCGGACTCCGACCTACAATCGGAATTCGGGTGTCCCGTTCCCGGGATACGAGCTGCGATCCTCAGCGAAGCTTTTTCTTCGGCAGTGTCGCCAATGCTCATACGAAATATCGATTCGAGTCTTCTGCATAGAAGTCTGTTTTGTCTTCGCGATATCTCAGTCAGCGCGATGCATGAGCGTCAATCCATTCGATCGCCAAGCCAGACGATTTCGGTACTTTCGGGGGCTCTATGTGGGATAATCTTTCAGTAATCTGCGGAGGAAGGCTCTCAGCAATCCGGATCTCACGGAGTTCAAGCCTTGGGCTCGAGCACGGACGGTGTCAATCTACCCTGATGATTCCCCCGAAATACCGCGGGAATCAGAAGGACGGATTGTTCTTGATTCTCGTCATCACGGAAGTACGCGAGGTGTCCAGCATATGGTCATGTCAATCACATTTTTCTTATTTGGATTCGCGCGACACGCGGGGTTATACGGGCTTCGGCTCCATGAGAGGGGCACCTCAGATGAACCGCATCAGGAGAACAGCCGCGATGCTCGGTTGCAGGAAGCAAGGGAAGCTGCAGTGGACAGATTTATTTGTGGTCTCTGATTTATAAAGCATGGGAGACTAAATCGAAGGAACGCCCTCGTTTTTTTTTCACGATAGAGTTACAGTTTGCGTCGCGTCGACTGTGGGAACCTACCACATCCGAACGCCATGTAAGATCTCATTCAGGGTCGAATCAGCGCTCGCATGCTTGATATAAGGGTGTCTGAGAGTGTCGATAATCCTCTCGAACGGTGGACGTCTGTGGGCAGAAACTTGGAGACATCTCGAGATGACATCACGGAGGACGGTGTCGCACTTATGTGGTATCTGTAATCTTAAGGTGTTTTCGCCACTACCGAAATCACCGCCCATGAGTTCAGGTCGCCATAGGGCCTTTGTCTGACGAGCGTTTCCCAGAGCACTACTCCGTACGACCAAACATCGGCACGAAATGTCACTTCTCGGCGCAAGTGAACCTCGGGAGACATATAGGCTATGCTTCCGGAGCCGGAAAAGCTCGTACGATCTGATCCTAATTTCAGGCTCAAGTCAAAGTCAGCGATCTTCGCAGTCTTGGCCGCACCGTGCAAGAGAATGTTCAGGGGTTTCAAATCTCTGTGGACGATTCCTCTTTCGTGTAGATAGGACATGCCTGTTGCGATTTCCAGAGCCCAGCGAGACACGGTATGCGATTCTATCGGTAGTTTCTGGTAGATTTCGCTGTGCAGAGTTCCCTTCGAACAGAAATCCATCACAAAGCCGACATTCGGTGCCGCAAGGCAGACACCGTGGAAACGTACGAGGTTCTGATGATGCAGATCCTTGATGTGTTCGAATCTACTTTGGTCGAGGCTGGGCACCATTTTGAAGGCGATTCTCCTCCGTCGGTAATGCCCGGAGAACACTTTTCCCTGAGCGCCGCTTCCGACGTATTGCAGATCGTTCAAGTCATAGGGATCCACGACCCAAGAGCTCGGAGGTGGGGCTGATTTCCGCAGCTGTTTGGCAAAGTCTGTGATGATGCTGGTCATTGCTCCGAAGACACCGTGACCGAGAATCCTGCTATGCTCCGACTTTCGTTCCTCGGTTAGATGATCTGAGTCCTCGCTGTGATTCGAGGTTTCCCGACGCGATCCATCAGGATGAGCTCGGTGTGGGGCATCCTTCCTGGAGAAACCTCGACGTTCAGGACTTTGTGCTATTGAAGAGAGTAACGACAGTACACTAGCAGCACTCTGTATCGAGAGCATTTCGTTAGACTTCAACTTTTCCAGGAGCTTAAAAATCGAGGCGTCACGAACTCGTTGTACAATCGTATGGAGAGCACGGACGATCGCAAGAGTTCTTAAACCGAAGAGAGCCGGTGTACAGCTCCGCCCTCTAGCGCTAGGGAGCTCTTGATGTTCTCTCAAAAAGTAATCAGAGGTTTTCTGGGTGAGGACCTCTCGACCCGTGGATCGAGCCGGGGGGCGCGGGCGCAGCGCTGCATTCTCGGGGCATCGCATTTTGCCTGGGGCGACCATCTTCACTTAGGGGGTCCCGATTGCGGATCGAGTAATCCTTGTGATACCATAAAAAATCTTCAATCGGCGACGGAAATCTCTCGAATCATAGAGCCGGGCGGTGAATCTGCTTCAGGTATGTCCCCCGCGAAACCCTCTTCGCTTCATTCAATGAGCTGGGGCGAGTTTGCCGGAGACACCTGGATTCCGATCATGAATCGAACTCCGGACGTGTGCGCCTAATCAGGGAAATCATTCCACCGTGCAGGGGATACACTTTTTCGAATACGGCGAGGGAAATTTCCATCTTGTCTGCAAGAGCGGCTTCATATTCCGGGATCCCTTATTTCTCATTCAATTCAGGGGCTGCGACAGTCTGATAGGTGGGCGCGCTTGAAGACCATGCGGAGATTGAGGACGATAACGCTCCAGCCTAACTCGCAGAGGACCCCGCGACAGGGGGATGCCGACGCATAATTCAAGGAATGGACCGCTTGCAAGAACCACGGCCACGCGAAAAGCGCAACAAATCCGATGGAGGAGGTGTAGCTGAGCATCAACAGAAAAACGGAGAACGCTTCGGACATGAAAGGAACGGTGTGAACCACTTCGCTCCTCAGTATCCTCACCATCGTTTCCTCTCCGCTGAAGGAAACTCCTGACCAAGTTTTCGTCCGGCGAGAAACTCATGCATCGGAGAATCTACAGAGTCCGTAATTCCAGAAATCGAAGCTTCTCGCATCGGAGCGAGGTATTCGGTGAAAAACTCGTTAGGCTCTTATGGATTAGTGATGGTCTGATGGTCAATCAAGCCTTGGCCTAACCTACGGTCGAGGAGGCAATCTGTTGTCGCAGCCGAACATTACGCGCAACATATTCGACATCCTGGAACACGAACCCCTCCCACAGGATCTGAAAGTTTTGAGATCGTTCCCTGCTCGTGATAATCACAATCGGCACTATCGGCTCGGAGATCTGTCCGCACCTTCCCTGTTGAGAAGGAGCATAATGATCTTCGATGAAGAGCGTGTCTGCGCTCATCGAGCTGGAATGCGGGGGGTCTAGCCACATGGATCAAGCTTCCCGAAATTTTATGTGAGACTAATCCCTCGCAGGATGTTGGATGATTTAGTAGGCTATTCGATTCGAGGCAGCGACTCTTAAGTCCCCAGTTTTGGCTTCAACACAGATAAAAGATGGAAGAATTTGAACTCAAGCTCTATTTATTGTTATTGGCCTAATCATGTCCCTCGATACAATCGATTCTAGACGTCTACGAGCTGCCCCTCGGATTCTGCGGTACAAGATGGCTCAAAAGGCTCGCTGAGAATACTCCCGACAATGGCCCATCTCACGCTCATATGGGTAGAAGTCACCGTTCCGTCAATGATGAGGAATGCTGTCAGAATGAAGAGTGGAGCCCCTGATCC